AGTGGCTCCACCCGGGTCTGCAGAGCCCGGGGAGGCAGGAGCCCAGCCCCAGGGTCCTGTCCACAGTGCAGCCGAGGGAGCAGCCAGGGCTGGTCAGGTGCAGATGGGACAATGTCCCCAGAGACGTCCTCATGTGATCTCCTGGACCTGACCCCAAGTCAGGCCACCTGGGGGAAGGCACCCAGTGTGGGCTTGGTCCCAGCACTAGGAGGACATTGTTTGGAGGGTCTTATGTCACCATATACCGTCCCCCAGGTCCATCCGTGTTGTCACAGGTGAGGGGAGCCCACTGTTTTCCTGGCTGCGTACTATTCCCTGCCTGCTGTCTTGGTCTGCACGTGTGCTGATGGACACTGAGGTCACTTCGTATGCTGAGCTGTGCACAGAACCGGGAGCGCTGGTGACACTGCGATGGCCTAATATAGAGAGCTGCCGTCCTTTTAAAAGTAGCATTTTAAAAAAAATGTGATGGTGTCACTTTGAAAACATGACCAAGGGTCCCTGTGCCCTCAGCTGCAGCATCCCGGCCCCTGTGCTCCGTGGGACCCTCTTCAAGGGTCACAGACGGAAACCAGGCAGGGTCACAGCACACGGCCTGTCGGGGTGGCAGAGCCCCAGGCTGGACGGCCAGCACACTCTGCTCCTGTGACGTCATCAGGGTCCCCAAGGGCCCGGAGGTGTGGATGGGGACGGTCCCGGGGTCCCTGTGAGAATGCAGAGGGGGGGACGGACCCCCAGGGAGGTGGCACGCGGCGCCAGCTGAGTTGGGAGAAGCCGGGTCCCCTCAGGCCACCTGCTCAGGAGCCCAGCCTGCAGCAGACAGCCGTGACCTCGGGGGCCGAAGAGTCACCAGGACTTCAGCAGCCAACGGTGAGGACACCGAGCAGGGAGCGCCCTGTCCACGTGCCACGCCCAGGGCACAGACAGAGTCCCCGGAACCCTCCGGCAGGCAGCTCCGGAGTTCCATGAGGCCCACCTTCCTCGGCACGGTGACCCGAGGTGTCGAACTTGGGTCATCAGGGAAAGGTGGAGCCAGCCCCGAGGTGGCCAGGCCAGGAAACAATGTCCTTGACCCAAGAGAGACCCACCTCCAGGGACTCTTGGTGCAGGTCCCCAGGGTTGGGCAGAAACCTGGGGACAAGACGCAGAGAGGTGCCGGCCAGCTCCACGGGAGGGAAAGGGGTCCTGGGGGGTCAGGGAGGAGGACCTGGCCGCAGCTGCCGCTGGCCACCACCTGGTTATTCTCCGTCCCAGCCCCACGGGCTGCGGCCAGAGCAGGATCCGAACTGGCCTCCCCTCTGCAGCCCCCGGGGCGGGTCCCAGGCCAGCTGCCCGCAGGCCCCGCCAGGCCTCCCACCCCGCGGCCAGCCCGCCTCCTTACAGGAAGCACCTGGGTGGCGGGGAGGCCGGAGGCTGAGGCCGGAGGATTAGCGTGTCCATCCGGCGTCTGCAGCTGTGGGCAGCGTGGGCCAGCTTGGCCGGGCCAGTGTTTTCCTAAGCACCGCCCCTGTGATGTGGGAGCCGCCGGGTGCTTTGGGGACACTTGCAGGAGCCCCTTCACGGTGTTTGTGCAGCTTGAGAGGAGGCTGCTGGCTCGGGACTTGGAGGCCACCACAGAGAGACCCGGGCGGGAGGCCGCTGTCGGGAAGGGGCCGAGGCCGGGCCAGCGGGGTGCTCCTCCGTGACCCGGGTGGCATCGATTCTGGGGAGCAGGGGGTCCGTCCCCAGCCAGGTTTGACTGACAGGCGCGTGGAGGGCCTTAATAGTGGCGGTGACCTCTAAGGAGGGCGGCTTGGCACTCGGGGTGGGGACTCCGGGCTCCCTACCAGGGACATCAAGGAGGTGCCCGCAGGTGACCCCGACTGCCCAACGGGGCGGCCAGCACCGTGTCCAATCGTGCAAGGTGGGCTTCGGCCCCACTGCGCAGGGCGCGCCGGGGACCCCGGGCTCTGGGGCGGCCTCCGCTCTGGGGCGGCCTCCGCTCTGGGGCGGCCTCCGCTCTGGGCGGACGCGGCGGGGCTCGGCCTGCCCTTCCCTGAGGAGCCGTGGGCAGCCGCAGCGGCTGGAATGTTCCACCGGCCCGTAAAACGCCCTTTACGAGGCCGCGTCCACTTAGCCAGGGTTTCCCCAGAACCGCGGGGTCCCAGCAGCCGCGCGAGGCAGCCCGAGGCCGTCGGACGTGAGCCGACCTGGGCTCGGTGACCACACGCCACGCCGCAGACCATGACCCTCAGCGGGCGGATGGCTGGCGCAGGAGAGGACAAGGCCAGGCCCGGCGCAGCGAGAAAGGCCAGCGCGGAGGGATTGGGCCGTCTCTGTGCGCGCACGCGGCCCCCCCAGGAGCTGCCCCCGCGGGTCAGGACCGCGATGGCCAAGCCATCCAGAAGACGCGGTGTTGGAGGACACGTGCAGAGATGGCAGCCCCGTGTGCAAACAGGGCACGGGGAGCGGGCAGTCTCTGGGGAGAGCGAGGAGGAAGTCCACTGGTCACCTGCAAGTTCCCTTCTGGGACTCCTCTGCAGAGAATCGCAGCCCAACAGAGCCCCTCAACAGCCTCATGGACGGCAGTTAAATGAGCAATCAACTGAATGTCCATCAGAGGGCACACGGACGAGCAGAGTCCGGCCACAGAGGGGAATATTACAGGGCCATGAAAAGGACTGCCGCTCTGACACCTGCAGATGGGCCTTGAAGTGTGGTGCTTGCTGGGACAACCCAGGCACAGACGACCCCACCCCTAGAGCCTCGGACCCACACCGTCCTGGAGGGAAGAGGTGGGGAGTGCCCGGCCACCTTTCAGTTTTGCAAAATGAAAAAATTTCCCCCGAGATGGACCGTGCGGCCTCCCTTCCTCTGGGTCCCACCGCGGGAAAGATCTGAGCCTTTGGATTCTCTCCAGCCGCATTCAGTAGGTGGCTGACGGGTTTAAAAAGCGCAGGATGGTTTGTGGCATCTGGCGTCTGCCCTGAAATCTAACGAGGGACCTCGAGCTTGTCTTAATTAACGGTTTTGAAGTCCGTGCCTCCAGCCGCTGGGTGGTTCATACCACCCGCGTGTTATTGGTGGGAACTTTATTGTCACCTGGAATGAACCCGAGTTTACAGCCCGGAGGCTGGCCCAGGCTCTGAGAGGCGTGCACAGAGTCAGGGAGGTGTGTGCCAAGAAAGTTCATGTCCTACTGGGTCCAGAAACGCAGGGCGGGGGAGGACGGGGACGGAAACCCAGACGCCATCTCTGTGTGTTGGGGTATGCGAGCTGGTCTCCGGATGTCCCTTTACCAGCCGCACCAGGTACCTGGCACTCACCTCTGTATGGCCGGAGACCCCAAAGCACTGTCGACCGCAGCCCAGCCAGGTGGGGTGAGGCACACCTGTCATCCCAGCGGCCTGGGAGGCTGACGCAGAAGGATCACAGGTTGGAGGCCAGCCTCAGCAACTTAGTGAGGCCGTAAGCAACCACTAAGTTTACTGTGGACCTATTTGCCAAGGTGTGGAAGCAAGTGGAGTGTCCATCAGAGGATGAGTGAACCATGTGGAGATGTATATACACATATATTAAACACCCCCCACACACACACACACGTCTGTTTCTCTCTACATATACCCACACACATATGATTTACAGTGGAATACTATTCAGCCATGAAAAAGGGTGAGTCTTGTCATTTGCAGCAACATCGATGAACGGCAGAACATTAATTGACAGAGCCAGGAACAGGAAGACCGGTTCCACCCAAGCCCCTCAACCCTCGCCTCCTAAGGGCACTGGTCACTTGGCTTTCTAGCAGGGTCCTCCGGAGCTAACTCGGGCAGCTTGACTCGTTTCCTTTTTCCTGGGTATTTCCTGTGGCCCTCAGCAGCTCAGCAAGACGTCCTTTGTCCTGGGCAAAGGACTCTAACCCTAACCCTTTTTTTGCTGTATTTTCCGGTGGTGCTGGGAATTGAACCGAGGACCACTAGGCCCTCGCTCTGTCACCGAGCCACCCCCGGCCAGAGCTCCTTCATTGGCAAAGGGTGCAGACCTGCGGAGGTCAGAGCCACCCTGGGTGTCCTGGGGCCAGGAAAGGCCAGGGTGCACACTCTGTGTTCCTAAAATGACCCACGGTGCAGAATCCCGTGCATCCACCCACTGGGGTCAGTGACCCGCTGCAGTAGTGGCGTGGACACTGGGTGGACACTGGGTGGACCCTTTGTCAAGGTCGCTGCGCTGTTCAGGGAACAACGAGGAGATTCACATGCTGCCGGGTCAACGGGGGGGGGGGGGGTGTCCGAACTCCCCCACGCGCGGGTGTAGACGCCGCCCTCGCTCCAGCTGACCGCGGTGTGCACTTGGCCCAGCCTGAAAATGCAGAGCGGGATCCGCCAGGCTGCGTGGCCAGAGCGGGGCGGGGCCGAGGGGGACGCCGACCCCAGGTCACATCTGTGCCAGGGCCCTGGTCCCCAAGACACGCGAGGGTCCAAGGGGCTGAGGCAGGAGGCAGGAGGAGGCTGCGCGCAGCCGGGGCTCGGGCGAGACCCTGCCTCGGGGCAACGCAAGGGCGCGGGGTCGCCCAGGGGTCCTCCCCGCGGGCCTGGCCAGCCCTGGCCTCGGGTTTCGGAATCTCAAGATGTCCCCTGCAGTCCCCCCGGGATCTGCCGAGTTCGCGGGGCTTGGCACGTCGCAGACTGCCCCGTGGTTTGTTAGGGCTGGTTCCCGGGCAACGGCGACAGCCGGCGCAGGACACCTGGCCCCGGCTGACCCGGCTATTAATACCCGCAGCTGCCGCGCACCGACCGGGGCTGCACCGGGGCCCGGAAAGGACGCGGCTGAGCGCGCGGGGCCCCGCTCCGGCCCCCTCCCCCGGGCCCCCTCCCCGGGGTCCCCTCCCCCGGGCCCCCTCCCTCCGGGTCCCCTCCCCCGGGGCCCCTCCCCCGGGTCCCCTCCCTCCCTCCGGGTCCACCCCTGCGCCCCAGCCCCCATCGCAGCTGTCCGCGGGGCCCCCCCAGGGCACAGCCCGACCCCAAGCCCCTCCCGGACCCAGAGCTAATTTGGAGGTGGGACATTCCCCGGGGCTGAGGTCAGGCTGGCCTGGGGACAGGTCTCCGTCACCGGGACCCAAGGGCGTGGCGTGGGTGGAGCCCGAGGTCGCGGCTGGCCCCGCCTCCTCTCCGCCCAGGCTGGCTCCGGGGACCTGGCCACGGGGGAGGGGGACGCATTTCGGGTAGAGGGGACAGCGGTGGGAGCTGTCCCAGCCCCCAGCCCTGTACCCCAGCCTCTCCAGCCCGGTGTCCCCGCCTCTGCCCGCAGCCTCGCTAGCCCCCACCCTCCGGCCTCCCTCCCGGCCTCCGCAGCCCGGGCCTCTGAACCCGCCCCGTCTAAATCGGGCCCCGGCGCTAAGCCGTCGCTGGCCTCCGGAATGCGAGGTCGCCGGCGCCAGGTGAGCGGCCTCGCCCTGCTCCTGGCCGCAGCCTCGCGGCCGTTTTTAGCCCGCTAAGCCCGGGCCTTGGCTGCTCTGGGATTCCTGGTGCCGGGCCTGGGGGGCAGCGTCCGCAGCTGTGCCCGGGGGCGGGGGCCGGCTCCATTTCTGTTTCCGCCCAGCGGGCCGCAGGCTGCCCTCGCTGGGTCCTCCTGTAGGTGGCGGGGCACCCTGACCTGGTCAGCGACGGCCCTGAGCGAGCTCCACTCTTCCTCCCAAGTCCGCTTTGCGGACCAGCCTCTCTCCCTCCAGGTCACCAAGGGAGGTGCCACTTTACGCTCGAGATAACGCAATCCCGCTCCTACTACAAGGCAGCCCTGTGGCCCGCACCAGCCAGTAAGCCCCAGAGGGCCCCCACCCCCCAGCAAATCAGGGGCTCTGTGCCCCAAGGACACCCCAAGTCCATGCACATCTGACCCACTCGACCATCTCCCAGGGTCCAGCCTGCCCCCTCCTGGGCTCCCAACCCCCAGCTCCCAGGACCGCCCTCTCTCCCAGGTACAGTCCCGCCCAGCTGCACACTCCCAATCCTCTCCTGGTGCTGAGAGGCAGAGACCCAGGCAGAACTTGGTCCACACAGTGGAGTAGTACGCAGCCATGAAAAGGAGTGACGATCTGACACCGGCCACAGGGTGGACAGACCCTGAGGACCTGGAGGTGCTCAGTGAGAGAATCACACGTAAAGGTCCCCACAGGGTGTGAATCTGTCCATTCAGAAGGTTCACAACAGGAAACTCAAAGAGACAGGACATGGGTCAGGGTCGCCAGGGGCCGGGCAGGAGAGGCGGGAGTGGGTGCTACCTAAGGTACCAGGTGGAGGGAACGTTCTGGGACTTGACAGAGGTGACAGTTGTGCCACATGGTGAGTGTGCTAGACACCACCCTGCCACACACTTCAGAGCCTGATTTAGGTCTCTTTGTTCCTTTAGGGACTGACTGCTCAGCATCCCCACCCGGTGGCCACACCTGTCATTCTGCAGCTTGGGAGGCTGAGGCAGGAGGATTGCAGTGGAGGCCAGCCTCAGCAATTTGGCCAGACCCTCAGCAACTTAGCAAGAGCTTGTCTCAAAATAAAAAGTAAAAAGGGGCCCGCGGACGGGGCCCAGTTAGAGCACCCTGGGGTCCATCCCTGGCACCAACGCGGCCACCACGTCACCTGTTTCATAGGTGACCCACACAGCTCCTTCCCCGCTGGTGTGTCCCATCTATGAAGCTCCCCACCCTCCCTGCCCTCCCGAGGCGCCTCCTCCTTGCCTCTGAGGCTGTGGACACTCCCTGGGCAGGGCCGTCCACTCTGCCTCTGTCTCCCACTGGCAGGTCCTGGGGTGTTGGAAAGGTCTTGGACCCGGCCCAGTGGGGGCCACCTGGTTCCTGGAAGACCAGGAATCTCGCCCTGTCCCTGGCGGAGGGTCCCCGGGCGCCGGTGTCCCATGGGGCAGGGCCGGGTGGGCGCCCCCCGGGTTCCATCAACCTCTTCCTGAGCGCTGGACCCCGGGAGCCCTCAGCTGCTCTGCGGAGCTGGACACCCGGGTCAGAGGGAGGAAGCAGCTTGTGCGCGTGGGAGATTCCGGGCAGCTGGATGCAGCGGGAGACCTCCGGAGAATGCCCGGCTCTCGGAAGCGGCCGGCAGGTCCCAGAGGTCTGGGATGCCACTCAGGGTCCCCGTCACCAGCACCCGGGGTGCAGGGGACTTGGGGGTCTGCCACCTCCAGGCCCAGTGGGGAGACAGAAGCAGCCAGTGCAGAAAATCAATCCCCTGGGACGGCCCTCGTCCCTCGGTCCCCGCCCTCACGTCCCCACGGAGGCTGGCTGTGCTCTGTGCCGGGGCGGGAGGCTCCGAGGAGAGAGGGACGCGGTGTCACCAGGCGTGCGATCCCTGACCCTTGCCACCTCCTCCAGCCGCCCTCCAACAGCCTCTGCACACCCACATGGGACGTCGGCGGAGCCCTCGACCCCGGGCTCTGGGGCTGTGGCCTCTCCGTCCACATGCACCAGGTCCCCGGGCAGCCGGGCTGGGACACCTGGTCTGCCCCCCTGCTCCTCCTCCTCGGGCACGTGGTGGCCAAGGGCAGGGTGCACCTCAGCACCCCCAAGAGACGCACCCAGGCTTGGGGCTCCTCCTTCCCCTGCAGGTCGGAAGTGCCCGCCAGGCAGGGGACCTTGGTGCCCCTGGACAGACAGCTGACGGACAGCAGGTAGCTGAGGACAGGTGACGGACAGCAGGTAGCTGGGGGACAGACAGACAGCAGGAGGCCATAGCTGGACGGCGGGACAGGGACTGGAGCCCAGGGCTCCGTGGGTAGGTGCGGGAGGAAGCCGGGTGTGAGCGTCACTAGAGTCGTGCACGTGACAGCCGCTGTAGAAGTGACACAGTGCGTGTCTGTCGGCACACGTGTGGTCTCAGGGAGCCTTGGCCAGTGGAAACCTCCACTGCCCAGCACGTGGCCCATGCTGTCAGCCCAGCGGCTCAGGAGGCTGCGACAGGAGGATCACGAGTTCTCAGCAGCCGCAGCAAGTGAGTGAGGCTGAGCAACCTAGGGAGGCCCTGTCTCAAGGGAGAAATAAAAAGGGCTGGGGACGGGGCTCCGCGGTCAGCACCCCGGGCTCCTTCCCTGGAGAAGGAGGAGGAGGAGGAGGAGGAGGAAGAGAAAAAGAAACCGTCCGTCTGAGCCAGACACAGTGTCAGGAGGCTGAGGCAGGAGGACCTCAAGTGGGAGGCCAGCCTCAGCAACTCGGGGAGACTGTGTCTCAAAAGGAAATAAAGGGTGCGGTCACCTCAGGGGTAGAGCGCCCTCCGCTGGCTGCCTAACGGGGGGTTTTCCGGTCCCTTCTCTGGGACAGCCCGGGTCACAAGCAGCCGGGCGTATTGATGTGGAAGGAGGCACGTGACACAGACGCTGGACACTTATCCTTGTCCTCAGAGCCCCAGGTCCCCTCCTGCCTTCCCCGGGGCACGAGGTCCACCCAGTCCCTGGGCACCTGGTCTCACTCCTGCTGCCCGGAGCCCTGCTCTCTGTCCCTGTCACCTGCCTCTGTGCACCTGCCTATTGTCACCTACCTCCTGCCCTACGTCCCCCCAAGTCCTGCCTCTGTCCCCTACGTCTCTGCTCCATGGGTCCATTGCCACCAAGCCCTATGTCGTCCATGCACCCGGCCCTTTGGCATCTGTCAATCACGTATCTACCTGTCCTGTCTGCCTGCGTCTGTCCGTCCTCTGTGGACCGGAGTGGTCTACCTGTCCATCAGGGATCTGTCTGTCCATCATCTGGTCTTCATCTGCTGCGCTCCATCACCCATCCCTCTGTCCATCAACCCTCTGTCCATCACCCATCCATCTGTCCACTATCCATCCATCTATCATCTATCCATCTGTCCATCATCCCTCTGTCCATCATCCATCTGTCCATTATCCCTCTGTCCATCATCCATCCATCTGTGCATCATCCCTCTGTCTATCACCCATCCATCTGTCCACTATCCATCCATCTATCATCCATCCATCTGTCCACTATCCATCCATCTATCATCCATCCATCTGTCCACTATCCATCCATCTATCATCCATCCATCTGTCCACTATCCATCCATCTATCATCCATCCATCTGTCCACTATCCATCCATCTATCATCCATCCATCTGTCCACTATCCATCCATCTATCATCCATCCATCTGTCCACTATCCATCCATCTATCATCCATCCATCTGTCCATCATCCCTCTGTCCATCACCCATCCATCTGTCCACTATCCATCCATCTATCATCCATCCATCTGTCCACTATCCATCCATCTATCATCCATCCATCTGTCCATCATCCCTCTGTCCATCACCCATCCATCTGTCCACTATCCATCCATCTATCATCCATCCATCTGTCCACTATCCATCCATCTATCATCCATCCATCTGTCCACTATCCATCCATCTATCATCCATCCATCTGTCCATCATCCCTCTGTCCATCACCCATCCATCTGTCCACTATCCATCCATCTATCATCCGTCCATCTGTCCACTATCCATCCATCTATCATCCATCCATCTGGCCACTATCCATCCATCTATCATCCGTCCATCTGTCCACTATCCATCCATCTATCATCCATCCATCTGTCCATCATCCCTCTGTCCATCACCCATCCATCTGTCCACTATCCATCCATCTATCATCCATCCATCTGTCCACTATCCATCCATCTATCATCCATCCATCTTTCCATCATCCATCTGTCTATCACCCATCCATCTGTCCACTATCCATCCATCTATCATCCGTCCATCTGTCCACTATCCATCCATCTATCATCCATCCATCTGTCCATCATCCCTCTGTCCATCACCCATCCATCTGTCCATCATCCCTCTGTCCATCATCCATCCCTCTGTCCATCATCCCTCTGTCCATCACTCACCCATCTGTCCATCACCCATCCCTCTGTCCTTCCGTCACCAGCCTGTCCGGACCCACAGACCCCCTCCTTGGTCCGAGAGTGGCCCTCGGGGTCTCTGCTGCCCACCCCTGGTGCCTTCCCGGGGGGACAGACACTGTTTGGGGGTGGCGTGCGGCTTGGGTGCTGCGAGGGGAGGACTCGTGACCTAGTGACCCCGTCTTCAGGCTGCCCGGTCCCTGTCCCCAGCCAACGTCGACCTCACAGGAAGTGCAGACCGTGCAGGGCCTGAGGCTCCGAGATGACCCTCCCGACGCGGTGGACGGGGCTGGGGACGTGGGCCTCCTGCTGAAGGCTCGGGGGCCTCCGCGTCTCCCAAGGCTGGGTGGTCCCCAGGACGCCCACCAGGCCCCTCGGCCACGATGCCCCTCGGGTGGCCCTGCAGAGCGCCCCGCGGACGACCCCGCGCACGTCCTGCGCAGCCGCGTAGCCCAGGGCCGAGCGCATTCCTGGGATTCTGCAGGAGGGCATCTGGGCTCGGTCCCCGGGGGCGGCGGCTTCCTGACCGTCCGGCGGCTCCCGGCCGGGACAGGAGCCAGCCCCAAATACCAGCCCTGAGCCCGCAGCTGCTCGCCCCTGGACATTCCCCCTCTCGGCCTCCAGGGGCCACAGCCGCTCGGGCAGCAGGCCGCCCGCCTCGAGGCCTCGCGGTGCAGAGTCAGTGGGCGCAGTCAGTGGGGTGCTTACTGGGGTGCAGAGTCAGTGGGGTGCTTAGTGGGGTGCACTCAGTGGGTGCAGACTCAGTGAGGTGCACAGTCAGTGGGTGCAGAGTCAGTGGGGTGCTTAGTGGGGTGCACTCTCAGTGGGTACACAATCAGTGGGGTGCACTCAGTGGGGTGCAGAGTCAGTGGGGTGCTTAGTGGGGTGCACTCTCAGTGGGTGCAGTCAGTGGGGTGCTTAGTGGGGTGCACTCAGTGGGTGCATGTTAGAGTGCTGCAGCCGGACTCTGGCAGGTGCACAGTCAGTGGGTGCAGAGTCAGTGGGGTGCACAGTCAGTGGGTGCAGAGTCAGTGGGGTGCTTAGTGGGGTGCAGAGTCAGTGGGGTGCTTAGTGGGGTGCAGAGTCAGTGGGGTGCTTAGTGGGGTGCAGAGTCAGTGGGTGCACGACTCTCGGCCACGGTGCCAGCTGGAAGCCTGGGGAGACCCAGCCCCCTGTGCACCTCAGGAGCCTGTGACCGACCCCTCTGCTCACCCCACCACACGTGCCCTCTGGCATGGACCCCCCAGACCCGCCCCACCCCCTTACCCCCCAGACCCGCCCCACCCCTCGCCCGTCTTTCCTGGTTCATTCTTGAAAACAGACCTCACAGTCCACCCGTTTACGGCACAGCTCGGCAGCCCGGGGTCACTCACAGGGTGGGAGGCCATCGAGTCCACTCAGAGCAGTGCAGAGCCTGCAGAAGAAGCTGTCCCCCACCCCTACCTCCTTGTGCCTAAGCGATGAAGGAGGTGTCCTTCCGCTTTCCGCCCCGTGGGTGCCTGTCCTGCACATCTCCTGGCTGGGTGGGTTGCCGTCGCTGAGCACCCTGCCTTGACGGTCAGTCATGGTGGAACAGCCGTTCCTTTTCACGGCCAAGTAATATTCCACTGCGCGGATGGACCCCACTCTATCCGTTCCCCAGTTCAGAGGCATCGTGGCTGTTTCTCCTTCAGGGGCATCGTGA